CCCCCCCCCCCTCCCCCTATAATGTGCGCACACTAAGGGATGATTTTGAATGATTTGTTATGGTTTATGGCAGTTTGAATCTTATGCGCGGGGAAATTGGAATTTTATTTTCTCGTGGTCACTCAGATAATTCACTGTTACATGTAGATTCAACCTCTTACCCAAGGCAATTTTTTCTTCCGCAGTTGGATTGTCAACGAAAAGGCCCTGGCTTTGGCCCCATTTTTGGAGTGAGAAATGTATTCTTCGACCGAATCAATTACTCGTCTATACAAAATGTACAAAGGCTTAATTTCGACCAAATAGTTTTGTGATGTATTGTCAGTTCCCAAATAGTTCACATTGTATCTCAGACAAAATGTCAAAAATCTTATTTACACAATAAGCTTCGTCCTTCACGAACTAAAATTGTCAATGCACTCTCGTTCTACCGAAATAATAATTATTACCAGATCGAATAATTAAATTCAAAATCATTGACCAATCAGATCTCAATTGCGAAAATAAGCCTTTTTTCGCTGACCATCCAACCGCGAAAGCAAAAAACCCTGGGTACGAGGTTGATGTACTGCCCAATCAGACGGCACGTAGTGACTGCAATGTATAATAATATGCGATATTTTGCTTTTCAATTGTTTTTAGGCTGCTATCGTTTCAACGATGGCGGGACAATGCGAACCATAGGTTATTACGGTTTTGCACATGCATGTGAGACGGACTGCACTATAACGTACAAAGTAATCGCTCCGATATATATTCAAAATAGTCGTTGCTCTTTATTGTGGAAAAAATCAAGATTTTTAAAGGATAATCAACTCTGGCAGCAAGTTTCTGGCAAAATTGAAGGATTGACATTTTCACAGAGTCAGCTGTTTAGGGGAGTCGAAATAAAGGTACTTGATGTTTCAGTTTTTAACCTATCAAAATCGAGTATAAGGCCTGTTTTATACGTCGAATTTCGGTCGCGTCGAATGCTATTCAAACAATTGATAATAAAGCTTAATGAGGTTTATCATCTCATCATCTATTGTTTTAATTGCATTCGACGCGACCAAAATTCGACGTATAAAACAGGCCTAAAAAGTGACTAAAATGTGATGTTAATCATTCAGTCCTGCAAGTTAATACTGTTACTTTTCTGTCTCGTGAACAGATTGTGCATGAAGCTGCGTAATATTTTCAGTATTATACAATGCTTGGGATTAAGCATCAGGCGGACTCGCTGATCTGCTCTACCTGAACGTAACTTGTTCAGTTTACTTCTTAATAATTGTTTTTTCATAATTAAGATTACACGTGATGCGTACCTCAAGTGGAGTGGTACAATTTTGAAATTAGAAGTGGAATGCAAATCTCACAACACAAGTGAACAGCATTGTGTCTTGATGAAGTTTTACTCAACTGACATTCAACCCTCGGTACGGCATATATATGTTTTATATGATAGGAATTGCTTATATATAACAGCCGGACTGGCGCGGTTATAGCGAGAAAGCGCGATGGGCTTGATAGCCGGGATGTATTTGTCTTGTGTTTATATACATGTGTGAGAAAATGTCATCCATCTGCGCCATCTCTTTGAACTTTTTTCCGGCTGATTGGCGAGTGTTGATATATGGAGAACGTTTCATCCCGGTAAGCGAAATCTCGTTTTTGTCAAGTGAGATTTTGGAGCTCAGTTGTCCATTCCTCTCAGAAATATTACCAATGTTTCCATCTTTATGAAAAAAAGTGGAATAGAAAGCCTTCCTAAATAATTGACACACTGTAGTAATATTGTCTTACAATGCACTTTAGTTAGCGTAATGTCACGACTAAAAATGTTCCAATCAATGCCAAAATTTGTCTAACTATATTGGCTACAAATAATCAAGTATCCGTACAGCAAAATATTAATAATCAATTAATGAACATTTGCCGCCCACAAAAATTAAGACTCAGAAGTAAGTGCCCTTTTTTAATGTAGTTGCTCCCGACGCTTCACGTTAGGGAGTTTTTAAAAGATCACGAGGACGAAGTGACGAACTACCGACTACGCTTGAAATAAGTTTTGTTACATGTATATATGCAAATACTGAATGCTTGTCATAACAAATTCATCCCAAATATGTTTTTATGTGCATGGCTTTGTGTTCGGTAAGTTTCATCTTTTAATTTTCACAACGTAGCGTGGTCAGTTTCGGTGCTATGTTCTTTATTCTGTTTTCAGTACATAACAGGAATGTTGTTTTTGCGCTGTAGCCAAGGTCGCTACGGCCCGTACAGTGAAAAGTATGCTCTGGGGATATGTAAATTTTGTCTGTCTCAGTTAAAGCAATGCGAAAACAAGTTTTCAACCGTAATCCGTACCCGTTCTTCGCTGTCGGCATCTTAAACTCCCTGTTGTCTCCGGCGCTCCTGCACAGAGAGATCTCGTTTAGCAGACTGTTCCGCTAGCCGTGTCAGTCCGACTTACACCATGATGTTTGCTTTGATTCGTTGGATTCCAGCTTTTATCCAGCTTTTCTTCTGCGAATTAACAAGTCGCTTTAGGACATTTTCATTTATCTGCGTGCATGGACGAAATAGTGATGTTTAGGGACCTCTTTAAAAATCCCACTTTACATTAAAGGCCTCGAAATACGTTTCACCCGATTTCTATAATTTCAATAAGTTGAAATATTGGTGTCACCGGCCACCTTAAGTGATCCTAAAGACAAACGGTTGTTGTTGTTTTTTTGAAGAGTCTAATATCGGTACCCCGGGACATTTTGCGGAAAGACACTTTGCCGAAAGACACTTTGCCGAAAGACATTTTGCCGAACGGACATTTTGCCGACGGTCATTTTGCCGAACGGACAGTTTGCCGAAAGGACAGTTCGCCGAAAGGACAACTTGCTGAAAATAAAGAGGTTATTTCGTCAAAATGTTTGGGACTGTGACTCATTTCTCAACTGTGTAATTCTCAACCATTGTGTAAAATAACCATAATGGGTCACTAGCTGTGCATAATGGTTGTTAGCAGTGCATAACCATATTGACTATTGGTAGCTTGTTGGTGCAGCGGATGACCCATTTGTTTGGAACGTGTTTTGACGTCAGATCGTAAACAAACAAGCGTATATAAAGACGACGTAAGCGAATTTCACTTCGAGAATCATGGAATATACATTCACAGTTCTCGGGGAAATCACATTCATGAATGATGTTGAATGATGTTATTCTTCATATCGCGAATTTTCGGTAAACTTGTCAAAAACTTGAAAGAATATAAAACGAAACTATATTTCACTATCAAAGTTTATGTCATAAAAATCGACAATTAATGACTTTAATCACAGAAACTTTGACCGTGTAAGCGAACCTTTAAAGTTCAGAAGATATCTCTATTTTCGGCAAAATGTCCGTTCGTCAAACTGTCTGTTCGGCAAAATGTCCATTCGGCAAAATGTCCGTTCGGCAAAACGTCCGTTCGGCAAAACGTCCGTCGGCAAAATGTCCGTTCGGCAAAATGTCTTTCGGCAAAATGTCTTTCGGCAAAGTGTCTTTCGGCAAAATGTCCGGCCACCCTAATATCAATGGACTGAAACGATATGATAGCTATTTTATTCAATATAAAAATCTCAGTGAGTCTTCCCTCAAAGTTAGGGACCGGTCATTAATAATGGGAGGGGGGAGGGGCGGTGGGTGAGAAAAGCGGGCGGCTTCAAATATTTTTGCCTGAAATGAAGACGGCCTAGAACTGAAAAATATGTGACAAGGGGCGCCCCCAATTTTTTGATACTCTCCTGCTCATTTTCAATCCCTCACCATTATCGTATCCCACAAAATATTTCACCTTTTTTATTTCCTATAATTGTAGTTTCCATAGTTTATTGCCTTTATGCAGTTCACCAAAGGAGTCGAAGTAAATAACAACCATTTTAAATACTGGAATTAAATATTGGAAGGGGGGTTGAATTTTCTAGATGAGGGTGGGAGCGTCTTGGAAATAAAGGTCTTGCGATTGGAGCGGCTCTAAAAAAGTCCAATATTTGGTATTTATCACCCACCGCCCCCCTCCCATTATTAATGACCAGTCCTTATACGTTGGCATTTTTGGATCATTCTGTGTGGTGAAGACGACCCTGTTTCTGTTTTAGCGGCATAATCATCTCTCATTTGCTCATTGAGAACAGTTTATATATCTCTTTTTCTCTGGAGCATTTATGCAATATAGATGTAAAGTATTAACTGAGATATACTTACTTATCTGTTTAGTCTCTTACTACAGCGAATCCAAGCAGTGGTGGTGTTAACTCGGCAAGACTGTACTTTCAGTGGCTGTTGTCATTGTGTGCTTGTTATTTGTTGCAACTGTTTTTTCCATCATCCTGAGTTTCACCGCGTAATCTTGGATCAAACAATTATCTTGCTCTGCCATCAAAAAAGAAGAATTTACTCTTGCTGTAATGCACTTACAAGTAAACCACGTCAAGCGTTCCTCTTTTGAGTTTCTAAATTGATTGCAATTTTCCGCCTCATTACCTTTGCTATTTAAAAAAACTCCCCTGCAAACTTCCTAGAGGAAATTTACAATGTTGCTAAAATTGCTAAAAACCGATTTATTAAATTTTCCTCTGTTCCTATTAGAAGTCGTTAACTTCCTGCTACAAGTTCCTAACTTCCTGTTCTGTTCTGTTCTGCGCGTCGCAATTGGCTAACCAGAATAATCCACCAATGACAACACAGAACAGAACAGAACAGAACAGAACAGAACAGAACAGAACAGAACAGAACAGAACAGGAAGTCGGGAAATTAAAACAGGAAGTTAGGAAAATTTAAAATGAAGTTTTTTTGTATTGGAAATTTGGAATATTGCAACAGCCAATAGGAACATTGAAAATTTCCAAATGACGAAAGAAGAACGCTTCACGTAGTTTATCTGTAAACACAGTCACTTCTAATAAAATATGTAAATGCATGGTGAATACTGGTGAATACACATTTACTTATAGTCGAAGGAAACATTGAAATTCGAGTATAGGCTTTTCTCGTTTGTGCTAGCACATTTTTTGACATAATTTTCGGAAAACGAGCGTAAAACACCACTGCAAGCATAATTAGCACATAACATATTCTATAATTTTCAGAGCCGATTTTCTCGCTATTTTTGGGGTACTGCATCTAACACGTTTGAGAGTCTCCGCACAACGAAATGCGACTTTTTAGTATTATAGTTGTTTGTATAATGGTAAATTTACAGTTACAGTTACAACTTTTAACAGTCGCTTTTCACGTTGTTTGAATTGTCTAGAGGCTATCACGAGGGCAGACACAACCACAAAAATGGCGGATTTTGGCCTTCACGAGAAAGACTAATTGATCCGTTTTTATGCATGTAATATATTTATGAGTTAATATGTACTTTTAGCGTATAATTTAGCAGAATAAGAACACTTTTGAACCATATTTGCTCGAGCTGACGGTGTAACTGATTAGCAATTTGATCATTTTTGTGTAGTCATGCACTCTCCTTGTATAATATTAGAAGCTATTTTAAATTCCCAGGAGTAGGAAATCATGTACTTAACAAGAATAGAGTTTTTGATTCAGGTCTCGTTTTTAATACACCCTGTATTTTACGTCGTCTTTAGTACACCCTGGGTTCGACATAATGCTCAAGCATTCAAATTATCACAATAGGAAAACTTCAAAAGGTACACTTTTTTCGGGACACTCTGTGTAGTAGTATATCGTATGCATTCAAATTCTAGCTAGTCTAATTCTTTTTATACACCCTGTATATTATTAGACATATAATGCTGATTAATCATCCCGTGGTTCAAGTATTTGCCTCCCGGCGAGTGTGTATAAACAAAGAGTCTTTCAATAAGTATTGCATTGTATTGTCTCACTGGATCATATTGCCTTATGAGTCTTATGACGGCATTGGGCAAACTTTTGTGTGATGTACAAAAGGTAAAACCGTTAATTCAAAAGTATCTTCACATACAATCTCGTTTCTACTGAGACATTCGAATTCTTCTCCTCTTCGTCTTCAAGCAAGCTAACTTGATATGCGGGCATTATTTGGTAGAGTCGTTTTGGTTTCGATATTGTTGCTGATTTCAAAGAACGTTTATAGTCTGGTGGGATACAGCGACCAAGAAAAAGGTAAAATGTTCTGTGCATTCAGGGAAAATACTGATCTAAATTACTGTATGATATTAATGAGAGAAAATTGTTATTCGGTATTTGTATAATATAACAATTCGAGAATGAAAAATGTAGTGTTAAAATATGCTGTGTGAGCAGATTAGTATATATTTGCATTTTATTTATTTAATACGCTCTGTACAATGATCTATATGACTATATATGAGAACAGTCCTTTCTGCTTGATAATGTTGATCTTGGAAACGGAAAATTTGAAATGTGGTGGCAAAAATCCAATAGAAAACCATCCAGAATTCTTTAAAGTTTAATGGCAAAAAAGGGGATTTCCCTTATCAATTTCCATGGCGTCATATACTGACATTATTTACATATAACCATGCCTATATCGTACAGCAATAGTTGGTTGTAAAACAAGTTTCATAACATATATTTAGAGAAAAGACGTACTGCAAAGTGGTACAAGATTTCAAAATTTCGTTTTTCCGAAGTAAACAATTCCCTGAGTCTGAGGCAATTTTGTAATTAGGTGGTCTTCCTAATTTACCAGGGGGAGGGGCTATGGTGATTTTGAGGTCTCCATTTCTAATTTAAATTAATTAAACATTAGATTTATAGGAGGGCTACCAAAAATTACCAGAAAATTTGACAAGAAGGTTTAGCAATTATAAATTTCCATGCCAGTCCTTAAAATGTTATGCACACTTACATGCAGGTATTCAAAATTTGCTTTTAATTAAGGACATTATGCCTAGTTTGGTCAAAATTTGTTTGGTCCAATATACTTTGAAGACCTTTTTGATCAAAGAAATATTAAATCAGCCTTTAAGTCCATAGCTATAGCAATGAATGTACTATTAACAGGTCCTTTACTTTTATAAAGTGATCCTGAATAGTTGTACATACGTGAATTGCATTTATATGAAGATGAAGAATTCTTAAGCCAAACATATTCTTATTTTAAAGGTGCCCTACAGTCCGTGTGTAAACAAAGCCTTTGTTTACATTTTTAATTTGTGTCCAAAATATTGAGCTTTATTCAACAACTATTTATATTTTCAAGCTTCTAGAGTATAATAAATGATCAAGAAACAACAATCAGGCATTGCAAGAACCCAAAACATAGTTAAACTGTTTGTATCATAAAAAGTGGGCCCGCTCCTTTGTGCACATGCACAGATTGGACTGTAAGGTACCTTTATGAAAACAAATATAATGTCAAGAAAAGTTTTCTTATTTCAAGAAAAAATGTCTTGCAAATCAAATATTTCTTATTTTCAATTAAGAATCGTTTTTCTTATTAAGAAAATCAGCTTCCCACATTAAAAAATAATTTCTTAAATTAAGAATTGTTTTCTTAATAAGAAAATGATTTTTGCTGTGTACTATATACAAACTAATTTGTATCATATTTATCTGTATGAAGAATACTGATCATATCATATTTGTTGAAATAATTTATTGTGCATACTTTTTGAAAACCATTTAATATATGATAATTAAAACAAGATAATTGTACACAATAGTTTCATACAGCCTTTTGATTGTATATAACTGTTGCAGATTATCAGTGAAGAGATGTTGATATATATTACCAATGGCATGACATCTATTTAATACAGCCATTATTTAGATACGTCTAATTTAATGTAAGGATTCAGAAAGTAACTATGTAATTTTGACAGGGGGGGTCATAACAATTCATCCATATTTATCCACTATCACATGAAGGGGAGGGGCATAAAAAAACTATCAAGAATATGTGAGGGGGGGGGGGCTTGGAAAAAACATATAGCTAAAATATAGAATCACCATAGATTCCCTCCATAGGTAAATTATGCAATTGAACACCCCTTATTTGGCCCCGTGTGGTTTATAATATTATGAACAGCTTTTGGAAGGCAACACCGAAATGGGCGATAATTTCCTTGTAAATATCTTTAGCTGTTGTTAAAAAGTGCCCCCTCCAAAAAGCCAACTATTTCAAATTCATATAGCCTATATAGTGACAATTGACAGCTCAAAACAAGCTCTTTGAATACTGATCTTTTTATTTACGTTACCTCATGGCTTATTTTTATTCGTTTAAATGAGCCTCATCAAATTGAGCTTCGGCTGGGTAGTTAATGGCAAAGTTGAATATCATGCATGTAGACCAAGAAACCGAGAGCGCCACTGGTCTGTAAACTATTATTTCAATGGATTCTTCCAGCTATAGATTAAATTTTGATTCAGGCAAGAAGAACAAAATCCATCACCACAGCTAGAAAGAGCATGTTACAATTAGTAAAATTTGCAAAGTTTGGTAGCGAAATGTTGTAAATGAAGAAAATATAGCCCTGCGAAATTTGCAAATTTTGTATTAATTTGTATTACGCGCGGGAAAATGCACCACTTTCGGCCCAAATGTGGTGGTGCATTTTCCCGCAAGATGAAAATGAAGAAAATTTCCTGCGAAGATGTAAAGATTTCACTGCATATTAACAGGCACCTCTCTAATTGTTTGAGCGCACACGTGGCAAACAATACCATGAAATCGAGGCGGACGATGCAATTCATCATAAAGTAGTTTTCATTACCAGCAAGCAATTTCGGGACGTGTCTATTGCTGAAATCCAGTGAATCGGTTATTTTTAAAATTCAGCTAAAACTAAACAAGCTTACTTTCTTATATAGTACCGGAAGATATGCAACTGGTGGATATCTCATACATTTCAAAGCCAAGTATATCTGCAATACATGTTCTGTGCCGTGCACATTTAGGACTTCCCTATCTCAAGATAACATGCCCGGCTCTTGATAATGAACCAGGTTTTCAGAATAAAAACTTTGATATTTCAAAAGTCAACGGCAAATGCAAATTGACAGACAATATTTCGCGCAGTTACGGTTGCTCTCGCATCATTCGTAAGATTCCTTGGAAACAAATCGAAAATTTTACAAATTTTACCTGCTTTTGCCGAATGAAACGACAGGCGGTGGAGAAGAATGTCAAACACAAAGCTTCAGTAAAAATTATAAATCAAGGTACGTAAAGAAAATGTATTTCTTTTCCTACTTGATGTATAACAATATCCTTTTCCTCCTTGATGTATGCCATGTATGTATGCTATTGTAGAAACTGGTCAGGAAAGTGTTTGAAACCCACTACAATCCTGGGCATAAAATTTGCAATACGTACCAATTATTGGACCAACTTTCGTAATGTTACTAAAAGCTTCTCCTTTACCTCCACCATTCAATGTTGATTATATTCTTTAAACACAGTTAATTAAAGGCTCGGTATAGTACGTCCAACATTGTCTACGAGAGGAACGGGGGGTGGTGGCTGGGGTGGAGGTGATAATGAATATTATTGTAGTTCAATAGTAAAATAAGTCAGAAAGAAAAGTTTTTGTAGAGTGTTGTTGATGGTTTTGACTTCAAATTTTTTGCGAAATCCTAATCTTAGAAACACAATGGTATCTTGCTACTTTTGCTCAGCACAAAAATTCAGATCGGGATATCTTCAGAACTATTGAATCTTCTCAGTCTTGAATAACTACTCGAGATACTACGTACCATTTTTAATGTTGCATTTCCTTTTACTTTTCTATTTTATTTTATTAGAGTGCAAAACAAACACAGAGACGGTTTATCGGAGAAAAATCAATGAAGAGAAGAATATTCATATTTTGTGTTGCATAACTGGTCATCCTTCCCCTCAAATAACATGGTACAAGGACAAATTTGAATTGCATATGCCAAATGGAAGCACAGTCATCAACAACGTGAGATACCAGAAAAAGGGGAGTCGCTTGATTATTAGTAGGACCGACATACGTGGTTCTGGAAATTATCATTGTGTGGCCAGCAATATTGTTGGATACGAAAGAGGTGGAAGTTACCAATTGATATTTTACGGTAAGATTTTCCGTCTCTCGATTTTTTCAGGTGAGTAATTTGACTCAAAGAAGAGTTATCTCGCCGCTAACTTAAATCCACTGATTTCAAATGCAAGACTATAGTAAGGTATCCGGGCATTTTGCCGAAAGACACTTTGCCGAAAGGCATTTTGCCGAACGGACATTTTGCCGACGGACGTTTTGCCGAATGGACGTTTTGCCGAACGGACATTTTGCCGAACGGGCATTTTGCCGAACGGACGGTTTGCCGAACGAACAACTTGCCGAAAATAGAGATACTATTCCGTCAAAAAGTTTGGGACTGTGCCTCATTTCTCAACTTTGTATAATTATCAATCATTGTGTAAAATAACCATTATATAGTCATTAGTAGTACTTAATGGGTCATTAGCAGTACATAACCATATTGACTATTGGTAGCTTGTTTGCGCAGCGGATGACTCATTTGTTAGGAACGTGTTTTGACGTCAGGTCGTGGACAAACAAGCGCATACAAAGACAACGATGTAAGCGAATTTCACTTCAAGAATCATGGAATACATTCACAGTTTTCGGGGAAATCGCATTCATGAATGATGTTGAATGATGTTATTCTTATATCGCGAAATTTCTGTAATGGCTATATTAGACTATATTATAAAACAATTATACCATTCGCTCTCGTCGTATATGGCTGATAGCCGACTCGGCTATCACCTCATATACGACTCGAGCTCATGGTATAATTGTTAAATATATATATATATATATATATATATATATATATATATATATATATATATATATATATATATATATATATATATATACTGAAGACTATTTTCAAAAAAAATAGACGATGAGTTGACGTAAGGTAGAAGAGCGCTCAATACCATAATAAGTAGAGCGGAATTAATTCAGTCAAGGTTTGAATGTTTGCGTCGCTACTCTGAGTTTTACGCTTTACGCGATCATCAGGCAACTGACAGATATTATTCAATATTCACAATAAATATAGGTTATCATTTTACAACTTGAATAAGCATGTATCTGGTTACATGTCTACATTTGGAAAACAAGTCAGAGCGTTTGTTCAGGCACTCAGTTTTCTTCGCTTTCATAATAAGTAGTTTCTCCTCGAGGCATAAATTTCACCGTTTAGATCCTGGTTTGTATGCTTTGACTTTCTTCATAATGGACCACTTTATTGTATACTGACTTTTTTCTGACTTCAGTTTCCAGACGTACTTGGACAGTTCGGTGTTGCTCTTGTATTCCTCATGTCGGAAAGACTTAGTGTGATTGCGGTATCTTGTTTTGAAATCGCCCGCCGTCATGCCAATGTATATTTTCTTTTCCTGGTTGTTGGCAGTGCTGGTTGTCACTTCGGCTTTGTATACGATCCTCTCAGTAAGACATTTTTTACCAAGTGGACAGTTGGCGGGCTTTTGGCAGTTGCACATTGGCGTGTCGTTTTTTGTAGGTGTTGGGATTACCGTTGGTATGGATGATTGTATTACCCTAGCAGTTGGCGTTCGTTTTGTGTTTCGGTTGAGTATTTTACGATTATGTTTGCGAATGAGATTTTTCATGTTTGTCATGCAACT